GCCGTATTGTTATGACCCGTGACTTTAACTGACTGGCATAGGCCTGGATTGAGACATAGGATCTTCTAGAACTTTACAGGAGCTGTACGAAACGAAGCTTAGGGTCGATAGGTCCAGTACTTGAGACAAGCCAACCACCAGGGTCTTGAGCCAGCAAGACTCCTGAAGAGGACCGGTGGGCAGCCGGCCAAAACGGACTGTAGAGTCGAGCGCCATGCTGCTGACTCGTCGGCAGTTTCTGGGGATGAACTTCGCGACAGAATTCCCTCCGGGGAACTCCTGATCTCTATTCCCTTGTTTGTGCTCGGGATTCATGTTTACATTGAATATCGATTGTGGTTTTCATGATCTTGCAATGACTTGCTGTTTTCTGGTCGCCTGTAGCCTCTCTCTGTCGAGGCTGTACTATAAGTAGGACCGATTCACAATTTTGTTTGGCTGAGGGCTAACCGAGAGACCTACCTGTGAGGGACAGACAGGCCCTAAGGGCCTATTCTGATAGACGGTCCTATAGCCTATAGCCGGGTCCGGTAGAGGCCGAGAGGCCGAAACAGAAACGGTACCGGTCGGTCAGTCAGTCCGGTCTAGGTCGAGTCTAGGCTAGTTGTAGTCTATAGATAGATTGGGGACATTGGTTCACGGCTTTTGGCAGTTGGTACCGAATACATCGCTGCTGTGCTACGCGTGAACCGGAAGTGGTGACGGCTCAGCGTGGAAGGAGACAGGCATAGCCAGACCTTCGGAGCGCCGGCCATAGCTGGGACCTGCGGTGTACTCTGCCAGCACGCAGGGGCTGACAGAGGTCTGGGTTATCGAGGTCTGCTGGAGGCGAGAGAGATTGGTGCCCTGCTGGACCCTCCTCCGGAGGGGGGTTCCAGGGTGGTTGCGCTGCAGCCATAGCTGCAGCTTCTTCTTCTCAGAGGTCATCTTGTCAGGGTTTGGTGGCGCTGCTGCAGACTTCCACCCGGGAAGTCTTCCGACACTTCGTCGTCATCAGATACTGTGGCGCTGGTCTTCTTCTTCATCCTCTGAGTGGCGCTTGGCCTCAGAGGCCTGTTTCAGGGTGGCGCTGCCCTCAGGAGGCTGTATCTGGGTGGCGCTTGATGTTTCAGGAACTCAGGGGGTGTTACTGGTGCTAATCAGGGTTGGGGAGTGAAGCGCTGCTCATTTCTGAGCAGCTCACTGTAGTACTGAAGTTATCCTGACAATTTGAGACTCTGAGTTTAATAAACAGTGTGATACTGTGTTTGGACTATCGTCGTTTCAGTGTTTCCTGGATGTGATCTGCTCGGCTTTTCTTTATGACTGGTTGTGAGGATTGAGTGGAGTGAATTACACTTTCAGTGTACCCTGTCATATCGCATGGTCAAGTCTTCCGCTGTGTTTATCTCTCCCTGTGCGGTGTGATACTCCTATCCTCTCCCCTTCCTTCTGTGTACGTATGGGCATACCTGGAAGTCTATGTGAGCGAGTGTTGGCCTACAGGCAACGAACAACCAGAATCATAACAATCTGGCGGGGCTTGTCTGGCGTATTGGCCGTATCGAAGAGTCGTCTCCGAGTCTTTGACTTTCTTTGGTCTTCTTCTTCTCTCTCTCTCTCTCTCTCTCTCTCTCTCTCTCTCTCTTCCCCCTTTTTTCTGTCCGAACAGTCGGTCCAATGGAATGAGCATTTTGGTATGGCACTCTCACGTCAGTGAAGCTGCTATTACCATTCTGGTAGCCTGGTGAAAGTAATATCCCCCCCCAACAAGAAGAAATTACCTGTTAATGCGCCGGGCAAACCATACTTCTCTGCACCTCGTATGGGTGAGTCCAGCACTCCTGTCAAAGCCTGCGAGCACACCACAGAGGACACAGGAGGAGTAGAAGTGGGAGGAGGAGGAGGAGGAGGAGGAGGAGTGGTAGGAGGAGGAGGAGGAGGGAATTGGGAGAGTGAGGAAACCCGTTAACACATGCTAAGAGCACATAAGCGTACCAACAGTGCTGAAAAAATAAACGGAAGCTGCAGAGAAAAAAAAAGACAAAAGAAAAACAAACGAAAGATCCTGCTTGGTACTTGTATATAACCACAACTTTTCAGTTTTTTTATTTTTTATAATAAATATGTTTTAATTTTTTTAGTCTCCTTCCGTTGATCTGCGCCATACGTCCATGCATGATCCCTTCTTCCTCAAGTACTCCCTTTTTCTTCTTTTCCCTAGAGTACTTTTCTGTTCTAACTTCTAATGCGATAAACTCGAAAGTAAGTTTAAAAACTTAGCACAAAAAGAAAACACAACTTGACAGCCGCAGTCCAGGTCGGACCGGTACAGCGGTGCCCCCCACCCAAAAAAAGACCCCCGAGAGCCGCCCGAAATTACACTCCACATCAGTGCAGAGCATCTCCATGAACTGACTCACTGTGCGTTGTTGAATTTGTATCTGTGTTCATCTTCTGCATGAACTGACTCGCTGTGCGTTTTCCCTCGTGGGAAGTATCACACCGAACTCATTCGCCAGAGCATCTCCATGGCAGGCGGCTCTGTCGCAAAAAAAAAAAAAAAGGATTGAAAAGAAAGTACGTACTAAGCGTGTTACTCGGACTTCAATCGAAAAGAACTGTCCAGAGTCAAGACAAGGAAGGGAGCTCTCTGTTCTCTGTCATTCCGACTTCTGTTGCCTCCGGGGGTCCAAAGGACTCTTAAAGAGGCTATGATGAGTCGGTGAAACTCCGACGAAACAGTCTGCCACAGCCCCTCGTTTGTTGTCCTCTTCTCCCTCTCTGCCTACGGTTCATATATTGTCACACTGTGAATATATATATACAGCCTCCTGATGAGTCGGTGAAACTCCGACAAAACAGTTTGTCACAGCCCCTCGTTTGTTGTCCTCTTCTCTCTCTCTGCCTACGGTTTACCGGGCAGTTCTGTTTGTGACGATATATATATTGTCAC